TGGTTCCCGGGTAGGGGGGTGGGGGGTTCATCTTCGCCACCTGGACCTCCTGCGGGGCACTGAACACCACTGCGTCCCCCTCGGCGGCCAGCTGCGGCACTGGCCGCAGGGCCTTGGTGGACTTCTGCAGGTGGTCATGGTCTCGGTCTCCGTGGTCCAACACCGAAAGCTGGATCGCCCCTGGTGCAGGCGGTGGCAGGGACAGCTGAGCGGGGTTGGGTATGATGCGGCCCATCTCCACACCTCCGAAGATCACCTGTCCGGGGTTGGAATAGCGGTTGGAGACTGGGTACTGGGTGGCACTATCACTTCCATGCTCAGACGTCCCCACTGCCGTGGTCTGATTGGTCAGGACGTCCAGCTGCACATTCTGATTGGCCAGCAGGGACTGCACCAATCCTATGCTCTGTGTGGGGGACATAGCTTGCGCCGAGCTGTGGATGGGAGCGATGGGGATGTTCACGGTACATGGAGGGTTGTTCTCAGGCACACCCGATGCTCCCGTCACTGGGAGGAAAAAAGAAACATGCACTGCTTACAAAACTGCCATGAAACTGGGTCAGAATAAGTAATACCTCTGAACTTATCCAGTCCTTTTGCATACAAAATGCAACTGCTTCAGGCGGAGATGTGTTTGCTTGGGGAAAGCCAGATCTTTCACACAAGTTATACAAAGTTTCTCCAAGGTTTCTGGAAGGGCCCAGGCAAGCGGGTAAGTTCTGCCCGGTAGCCTTTGTTGTCCACTGGTTAAGGGCACTGTCAAAGCTTTTCAATGGATATGCTTCTGAACCTTCTGAATTTGGTACCATGTGCCTAAATGGTACCACGGCAAATACTTAACTTTTTTTTTAATTAATTAATTAATTTTTTAAAAGTAGGCTCCATGCCCAATGTGGAGCCCAGGGCAGGGCTCAAACTCACGACCCTGAGATCAAGACCTGAGCTGAGGTCAAGAGTTGGATGCTCAACCAACTGAGCCTCCCTGGAAGCCCTACTTTATTTTTAAATACTTAACTGTTTAAAGATACTTTCTACTCATATTCAGAAAACGGACCACTCTCTTATGCAAGGAGGGAGTGATGGGAGGATACTCCACTGAGCACTCATAAGGCCTAGGCTCTGGAGTACGTTTGGCCACATTTATGGACTGGTTAGTACGGGAAGGGTCATGCAGCAAATGTGTATCTGAAATTTGCACGTAAACTAAGTTTCTGTAAATAGAACCATGTAAGATGTAGTAAAGATACCAATGAAAAGAATCCTCTAGCAAATTTGTGTTATTAGGGAAGGATAATTCCCTAATTTATCTGCTTTTTAGCATTTCCGACAGTATGTAAGGTATAGCCACACTCTGTAAAACCCTGTAAATCTATTCTATATATGTACACATAGGGAATTTAATGAAGCATGAATTTGAGCAGTGATAGACCACACGCAGGTGCTCAGAGCCACTGTTTTATACTGCCCTGTTTAAAATGCCATCGACCCCTGGCAAGTTTGCTCATCTGGGCCTTTAAGTGCTATGTAGCAACTAGCATACGAGCAGGAAATAAGATTTAACTAGGTAACTGTAAAGGCTGACTGGCCTTTTACCAGAACTATGGAGTGAAGGCAGCTAGTTTCATCAAAAGTTAAGCCCACCTTTTGAGCCTGTCCCAGACTTCCCTACTTCCCCCATCCCTTCCCTGGGGCCCTCTAGTGAGATGTAACTATCTCCTGGCTGCATGAATCTGGGTCCTGTCTCAAGTTTTCTATTATTCCTGTTCAGATCTCTCCTCCAGATGGCCTCTCATCTGCATGGAGAACTGAAGGCAGGTGTCTTCCAGGCTAAAGAGAAGAGTCTGTCACCAGCATTAAAGGCAAGCACAGAGACAAAACGCTCCCTCCTCTGACTGCGCAGCACAGGCACTAACAGCAGCAGCAAGGGCTGAGCATTTAGGGAGAGCTGTATTAGTCACACTCTGGGAGCACAGGGAGGGTGTTACGGGGAAAGTGTAAAAGATACTTCTAAATACGAGATTCTGAGATTGCGGAAATGGGCTGTAAAGCTCAAGTGTGTGAGGCTTCACCAAACTGCAGGTTTATGTGGTTGCAAAACCTTGCCCATTATGACTTTGATAGTCTAGAATATCTGCTCTGCCTATGAGGAGAGGTATATCATCAGAGGACCAAAGACAGCTACTGTCAGAAAGTACCGTACAAATAAGTTTACATGTAAAAACCCATGAAGAAGGTAAATGACTCCCTCAAGGTCTTGAGGAATGCTGAAGCTGGAATGCAGGTCCTTCCCTGTCCCATGGCGAGGACCATAGCCCCTTCTGTTCCAGAACCACCAAACACAGGAGAAGTCAGTGGTCCATGTAGGATTCCTCTGGCTCAGAAACCAGAGACCTTCAAAAACTTGCTTGGTTCTAAGGAGAGGAGTGTTCATATTTATAAAATTATGGGTAGATGTTTCTGAGAATAGTTACGTAGGAATAATTGACAGACGACTTAGAAATCGTTCTACTCTATTAATCAAAATAAGATCCCCCCCCACCACACACACACACACACACACACACACACACACACACACACTAGAAAATACTTAATTTAAGATGCTATCGATATCTGAAAATTTGTAAACTGGGACTTTAAAAGCTTGTACCAGATTTTACCTTTAACTCAGACCAGGCTTCTGTACACTGAGATGTGAGTTGCACACTGGGAGAGAGATGTCTGAACGTAAAGGTTTTCTGTCCCAGAGATGGGGCGGGTTTGAGAAACCAGGTTCTGTGGGCGCCACAGCCTATGAGACCTGGTTTCAGTTCTGATTTTATTGAGTTCTGATCAGTCCTATAAACTTCTCTACCTGGGCATAAGACTAAGGATTATTGTGAAGATAATAAAACAAGAAGGCAGATGCTCTGTGGATATGAGGCCTTGCTCGTAGCTCCCCTCCTCCCCAAACCAGCAACAGTATGACCTTCTCCTGTGATATGCCACCACACCCAACAATGGAGGAAGTCACCCTTTGCCAAAGCAAGCACAGACCGGCATGCTGTAATCGTCCACAACTTACCACTCTGTCCCCGTCACGACCCACTAAGAACACACCTGGTAAATCATCTTCATCTTCACTGAAAACATTTGGGTTGAAGACAGGTAAATTAACATAGTCCATGGAAATCTTCCGAACCTCTGGGAGATAGATGGTCATCTGCCGTGGCTGGAGATGCAGGAGGCTGGTTTTATAGATTACTGGTGGGGAGGAGGAGAGCGCTGTTAACAGAGACATGCAGGAGGACGGCCAAGGTGCCGACAGAGCCACAGAAGAGAAATGGCGCTGTGCTGTCCCTGCCATCAGAAGACAGATCTGCATGGGCCCGGGAGAGTCTGATGGCAGCCCTTCACCTCCCTTCTGCACACCACTGGCCACCCCAGCCATGGTCTGGATTCTGTAACAACAGATTCTCAGCCTACCCCAGTCACTTTGCCAAGTGGTTTTCTACAGAATCACACATTTCAAATGTCAAACACGTGTCTAAGACTTAAATGCTTTTCTGGAATGAGCTGGGGTATGATAAATATGTATTTTAAAAGCCTCACTTGTGATCAGAAGGATAACTTAGTAAAATTGTTGGGATATCCAGAATGTCACGCTCAGGGGGATCTCAGGCAACTAGAAGATGGGATGACGTGGGTCAGGGCAGAATGAAACACTGCTCTTACTCAGGACTGGATTCTTGTTTCCCTGACTTTCAACTGCCATTTCATGATCAGGATAGTGATTTAGGGAACTTCCACACCATTTCTTTATTTTTAATTTTTTTTTAAGCTTATTTATTTACAGAAGAGAGAGAGGGAGAGTGCAACTGGAGAGGCAGACAGCGAGGGAGAGAGAGAGTCCCAAGCAGGCTCCACCCTGGCAGCGCAGAACCTGGCTTGAGGCGCAATCTCAGGAACAGTGAGATCATGACCGAGCCAAGATCAAGAGCCAGACGCTTAACTGACTGAGCCACCCAGGTGCCCCTTCACACTGTTTCCTTCAATGCTAAGATTTTATTGGATCAATAAGGACATTTAAGAGAATGCCTGGATGGCAATTAAAATATTTAGATGAGACAAAATAAGTTAAAACCAATAAATCTGAATTTAGGGCTTGCAGTAGGCTGAAGTCAGGATGACACCAGCCCATCAGCTTTCTTTTATGTTTCGTACTCTTCCCTGTGAGGTAAGTAGAGGTTCTGTAATTATTACTGTTATCCCTAGTTTCTGCTAAGGTAAGCACAGTTCTGTCTCCACTGCTGTCCCCGCCAGTGCCCAGAGGCGCCTGGCTGGCACTCCCACGGCACCGCAGGCCTTCTGGTGATGAAATACCTGTGTGAGGCTGGTGCTTGGGCTGGTGAGGGCTAAGAAGACTTTTCCAACCGAGTGCTCATCACAGCTCTACTCATGTGTTCATCTCTCTTGCTCACAAAAGAGAATATGAATTTTGGCTTTAAAATTCTGGACAGTTCTCTCTGGTTTAAGAATTAATGCATGCATTAAAGTGCTATTCTTTGTTGTTCAGATTGATAAAAAGAAATAAAATTTAAAATCTGAGGAGGGATTAAAAATTGTGTCAGTTGCCTCCAGGGGGAGAAAACTAGGTGGCCAGAGGTGAAGAGAAAGATTTTTACTGTATACTGCTTCAAATCTTTTGAATTTGAATTTATTCCATATTTTTAAAATTGAGAAAGCAAAAAATTAAAAATAAAAAAATTTCATGAGCCAGATAATTCTAATTGAAGGGAACAAATTATCCAGCACAATTATCTAATATAAAATATCCAACTACTCACTTTAAAATCCATTAGGGTGACAAAGATTGTTTAATAGGGTACCACAGGTAACATACCTTCTAAAAGCTAAGAGATAATTTCTTCTCTAGTAGAATCAAATGGAAAATTCTCTTAGCTTAACAAATGAATATAATAGCTAACATGCTTTTTTTTTAAACGGTCAATGATTAGGACAATGATTTCATTGCAGTCACACAGAAAACTTTTATTTTGGGCACTCGAATCCCTCACACTGGAGCATCCCGTACCTTGAAGGCACTTCTAGGCTCTCCCATGTTAAGGTTCTTGTTGACTTATGTGTGGATCTACTCAACATCTAGAAGGAAAAGATTCATTAAGATTCCATTCCTTTTTTCAATGTTTATTGAAATAGGCAGATGGCTCAGGCCTCAGCGTACTGATGTGGGGTGATCGCAACGCTTGCACAGTGGTTACTAGAATCACCAAGCACATCAGTGGGGCACGGCTGAATTACTAAAGAACAGAATTTCATGGTCATCAGAGACTTTGCAGGTGGTTGAAAATATTATTAAGAGATTTCTCTGCAGTATGTACTGGGACGGTCTATGGTTATTTCCTACGTCAGTTTTATGTGTTATTTTTATTCCTCTTTTTCTTTGAGCTGAGAAACCTCAAAATGAAAAATCCAAATACAGCACTGTTTAATAAGTCTCCTAAGACGCATACATGGCATAGGTCTTTTTAACATCTGCTTTGCAAGAATTACTTAACTGAAAGGATCTACTGATGTCTGAAACAACTTAAATAGTCAGATTCAGAATTTTTCACAAACCATTTTTAGTAGGGACACAGAGCACATTCAAGGTGGGTCCACCAGCCACACGCAAACCTCGCCTTCCAGAGACGTGTGCGTGTTAAGTGATCAGGCAATCCAGCAAGGCTGGGGGACGGCACAAGCCCTCAGACCACCCAGCGATGGCGCCTATCGGGATGAAGCTGCTCTGAAAAGGACCTTCTGTCATTTCACTCCTTCTGAAGTAAGGAGTGAAGTAAACACGAAGTAAACATGAAGTAAATACGACATGTTAGTCCTATTCCTTCAAGCAGGAGTACAGAAAAGAATGCAAATTCTGGGTTCTAGCCCAGCTTTTACTCCTATGGTTCTATTTTCCTCCGGGGCTCAAACTTCTCACAGAGTATTTATCTGGGACTTCTACATGAAATCTGTGAAGTTTTACCACAAAGAACTGTACTGACAGTCAGCCAGCTTCTTACAGTCTTTAGTGCTTTCTTCCCAACTTTCTTCGGACTCAAGAACCTAAAGACACTGGTACCAAAACCTGCCCACCGCGAGAGGCCACGAATCAAAATAACCAGAGCTTTGTTAGAGATTTCTGCTATTTCGGTCTCTTCATAAGTCAGGCTTATATAAAAATACTGAAAGCGCTGCTGGCAAAAAACCAATTTGAGTAATAATTCTAATTTTGTGAAATTATGATGGTTCGAGTCAAAGTGTAGAGGTAAATAAAGTACATACTAATCTTTTGGTGCCATAAGAGCTCATCTGAATGGTCTTTTCAAAAGTCTCAGTTCCACCTGGGAGAGCAGGCAGAGAAGAGGGCACGGTTTTTTACCTGCACCGAGGTTGGTTGGCAGGAAAGCAGCCAAGCCCACAATCTTAAACTTCGTTCCCCAGATATTAGACGTGACCTGAGCAAGATAGTTGTGCTGTGGGAGGGAGCGGGGGGGGGGGGGGGGGGGGGGGGGGGGGGAGAAAAAGGAAAAAAAATTACAATCTATTTTTATATCTTCTATTGATCACTTAGGAAGTAAGAATATTAACATTTTTGCTTAAAAAAGACACAGGTGGGTAATGTTGTAAATATTCACTCTCTGTATCATTCCACCATTTTTAAGACCGGAAGCTAACTGTAACATGCCAGGCACCTGTTTCTGAATCGTGGCTCATGGTGGCTCACTGAGCTGGGATTCTCAGGCTGGAAGTGAGGAACAGATGTGTCCCAGTGTGTCTGCACACGTGTAGGTTAAAAAGGCCACAAAGGCGATCTGGGCACATTTTTCTTCACCTCTCCTTTCCCAGTCACTGGACTAGAGGGGTTACACCTAGCTCTGGATCCATTTTTACCCTTGATATTTCTCCTGGAGACACTAGTTGCACTGATACCAGTATGTCCCCACTCTACCCAATTACCTATTTTCTCATTCAATTCAATTAAGAAAAAAATTTTTTTTAATTACCAATATGCTTAAGCCATGAGTGTGCGTGTGTGTGCAAGAGCAATAACAAAGATGAATTAAAACCAGCTCCTCAAAGAGCTTATTACCTACTGGAGGATGTAAGGCATAAAGGAAGTCACTGAGAAATGTTGTAAACAAGATGCTTGGGGACCACTGTGGCTGAGCCAGGGAAAGAAGCCTTCACCACAGAGGCTGAGTTCTATCTGGAAGCATGCCGGCAGAAACAAGGGGAGGAGATGGAGAGGGTAAGCTGGGTCACCCCAGTGACCCAGGTACAGCAAAGGCACAAGCACAGAAAGAGGCCGGTCAACAGCGAGGCTGTGGCACTTGGAGGACGTCGCGGGGACCAGGATGGAGAGACGGGCAGCACAGACTGTGGGGCCACCACCAGGGATGGGCTGTTGTGGACACTGAGAGTCACCAAAGGGTCGGAAGTGGCTTGAGAGGGCAGAGGGAGGGTATGTCTCAACCAGAGCTGCCTGTGGAAAGACCCATGTGGCCATGGGGGTGTGTCTGAGGTGGAAAGGAGGTCCTGGGGATGTGGAGGTGTCGGGGCCTGCCTGAGGGCAGGGTGGTGAGGAGGGAGAACAGGGCTCTGGTTCTCTACGCCCCTTGTCTGGAACGACAGTGGCCGGCACGGAGACTGGGGTGGCGAGTGCAGGTGTGATGCACCGAGGGTTCAGCCACCGTCGGCCACACACTGAGGAGGGAGAGAAGGGCGGGGCAGCGATGCGTGGGACCGACCCGGACCCCAGATGCTACCTGAGTGATGTCTTCAAAGGGAAACTCTCTTCGCGTCAGGCTGGGTGAGCCAATGGAGGGCTTGCGCATCGGCAACCGGGGAGACCTGGACATCTCCTGAGCAGCCCGGGACAGCTTGGGAGACTTCCGAGCCTCAATGTTGATCCTGTGGAGACAAGGCCAGGAGGGTCAGGCCCCACAGGCCGGGGAGGCGCATGCTGCCTTGGCCCTCCCCTTCATGCTCTGGTGGCCACCACGGTGCTGTGTTCCCAGGGGCAAGGCCCCTTCATTTTTGAAGTCTCTGCCGCCTGCTTTTGCCTTGTGAATATGAGGGAAGAAGAACAGAACTGTGTACCAAGTGATAGATACTTAAAAATACAGCGAGATTAGACCAAATCAAGTGATTCATTTGTAAGGAACCTCAGAGAATTAACAGTGTTTCACTTTCTACTAACAGTAAGTTTAGAAAGATCCACATGCCTCGTGCATGTGGGAAGATAGCAGGTGGGAAGAGACATATTTCACCCTAAGGCCAGATGATTTTAAGATTCCTAACACAATGTCAGGATTTCAATGGACTTTTCTAGCCTTTCACCAGCTGTGATATTTAAATCAAATCTGTGGGTCTACAGCTTTTCTGTTGTTTTCTGTTCCTACATTATATCTCTGGCCCTTAGTTCCTCTATTTATAACATGGGGACACGTGTTAATGCCAGCCTACCCCACAGAGAATGCTAGAAAAATGAGTATGTTAAGCTTGATGGCAATCAATAAAAAGAAAGCACTGAGCCTCAGAGGTACTGCCTGAGAGTGTGATACAACACCAGGGGCCCCGAAGCACAGGCAGACAGAGGCCCGAGCTGGTTACAGTTCTGTGTGAGGACTGTCTGGCCTTTGCAAGTAGGGGGATTCGACACAGGGAAAGACAGAGGGAAGCAGGAGCAGCCTCAGGGAATGCCATATTCGGGCACTGTGAAAGGACATGTACAGGTGAAGGGTTTGGTTGCTTATGTGTTAAATGTCCTCCCTTAATTAAGGGAAAAGCCGAAACACTGTAGAAGTGTAGAGAAGTTCACAGTTTTATTTGCAATTTTAACAAGCTCAGAATAAAGATGAAAAAATAAATTGCTTGAGCAACTGGATATCTATACAAGAAAAAGTCACCCCATACACAAAAATTAATCCGAGACTGAAGTACGAAAGCTAAAACTACAAAGTTTCTGGAAAAGAACAAAGGGATGTCTTCATGACCTAAGGGTACACAAAGATTTCCTAAACAGGATGCAAGAAGCACTAATCATAAAAGAAAAAATTCATATGACGTTAGCCATGTGGCACTCCATATCTCTGCCCAAAAACCCATAGCTAAAATGCATAAAGAATCTTACAACCTGGTAACAGAAAAACAACTCAATAAAAAATGGGCAACAGGCTTAACAGACACTTTAGAAAAGAAGATATCCAAATGGCCGATTAACATATGAAAAGCTGGGTGGCATCACCAATCACTAGAGATGTTAAGATAGCCCTACACACCCACCAGAATGGATAAAATTATTTTCTGACAAGGACAGTGCAATCGTGGGTGAAAACAGAAGTCTCACATACACTGCTGGCAGAACTCAGAATACTACAGGCACCTTGGAATACTGTTTGACAGTTTCTGGGGAAGTTAAACATGTGCCATGGCCCCATGACTCCCCTACCCGAGACAGAGGAGCGCATGTGTGCGCAAAAAGTCTCATTACCAGAGGTCAATCAATGGGTAAATGGAATAAACAAACTATAGTATATTCATTACAATTGAAACCACAGAGCAAAAAAGAAAAACAAACTACTGATACACTTGACACCAATGGATCTCAGTCATTATGTTGAGCAAGAGTTAAAAAAAAAAAAAGAAAAAGTATGTAATGTTTGATGCCATTTATATGAAATCCCAGAACAAGTAAAACTAGTCTGTGGTGACAGAAATTAGAACAGTGCTGACTCTGGGGAGCGGGTATCGAATGGGAAGGGGCACGAGGCACTTTTCGGGATGACTGAACGTTACCTTCAACTGGGCGGTAGATACACTGGTTTATCAACTGCACAGTAAATTATGTGCTTGAGATCTGGGCAGGTATGTTATCTGTACATAAATTCTATCTTAATTTTGTACAGTATCACAGAATTTTAGAGCTAAAGAGATCTCAGTGAAGCTCTGCCCCACCCTTTACCTTCCGTAAATAAGGATACTGGAATCCAGGTCACAGATTCATTCAAGGTTATATAGCCTTCAGTAGTGGAGTCAGAGCAGGGGGGCTCTTATCTAAGACCCCACAGGCCCTTGTATCTACTCTTAGCTTTTCGCCACTCTACAGGACAAACCTTTAGGATCTAAAATTTTTTAAATTTACGATTTATTTCCAATCACAGCATCATAGGTATTTAACTTGGCATTCTCTTCAACACATTACAGTACATTCCCTGTAAAACCTTTTCCTTACTTTTCTCAAACTAGAAGAACAAACAAGTAAGCCAGGGAGCTACGGCCACCCCATGCCATCCACCATCAGTGCTAACACTTAGAAGGTCTGAAAGTTGAGAAAAAGTCCTACTGGATGGATTTCTTCTACCCAGAGGAAAGAAGAAAGGAAAGCTGTAATTATTGAGGGCGTATCTTCCAGATGAAAGGCAGGGATGCCCTCTTGCTGGGCTCTTCTAGTGTAGGTTTCAATGGGATTCAGCTGCAGACACAACACAGACACACCTCCAGAGGCACAAAAGAGGAAGAACACCCCCTAAAGAGCGAGATTACCTTGGGAGTTTGGGTGATTTGCTAGCTCGGGAGATTTTGGGGGATTTCTTGGCAGCCCAGTCGTCACTCAGTTCGATGTCACTGGAGTCTGAGCAGTTACAGCTGTCGAGCATGGCGGAGATCAAGCTGTTGCCGTAGATTTCATCTGGGGAGACACAACCAGAAGACTCTGGGAAGTGGTATCAGACCCTAACAAGGATCACTATTACTGGAAACTATGGGACAGACTGACTCTACAAGCCAGCATTTAAGTCGAGAATTTGAAATAGAAAGGACCAGAGCATGGTTTCCTTTCTACGTTTTTATGCTATTACATTTTCTAAGCAAAAGGAGGCAATTACTTCTACTGTTATCAAAGTGGACATGGAATTTTCATGCCTCTGTAATATATAAAACAGTTCTGCAGTGTTTACCAGGCCAAAAGCTGGAACGTCCCATCACACCAGGTATCTGTGTTCGTACGAGTTTGCAGGCAGCCTGGGGACCTGGGCCGAGCAAGGGGCTTGCTGACCCAAGAACCTGCTTCTGACCTGGGCCCTGTGATGGCCTCTTCTGGTTCCACGCCTGCTCTGGACTAGAGACCTGACAGAGTCAGCTCCACTGCAGGGGTTCCCAGTTTAGTTGGCCCGCTTCGAGTAGCAGCTGGAAGGAATGCCTGTGCATGAGGCCTGTCAGTGGCGGGCCTGGGCTCTGCTGAGGGTGCCTGGACAGAAGCTGCTAGAGATAATTTTCACAACCGGCCACCAGGCAGAAATTAGAGGTCCTAAGGCAGAAGCCGGTGTGCACAGAGGTTGGGCCATCACAAAACTGCAGAGTTGATGGAGGTCATATCGGACACCTTCCTCGAAATCTTTTCTCCTTTGCTGCCTTCCTCTCACCCCTCACATCCCTTCACTCCCCAAACGCTGCTCTACCCTCACTGCAGGTAGCCCATCTTCAAAATCACTTTGTTTTGCTGACAAAAAGCCTCATTCCCTCAAGGCTCCAAGAACCTTGCCAGGTAATAAAAAAGCTGAATTGTCCAACTGCAATGAAATGATTGATAGAATCTGAGTGATTTTATCATTCAAAAAAGCTAATGTTTACATTTGAAAGGATGAGTGTGTTAATATAAACTAATCTTTAGTGTTTCTGAACATATGGAGGGGACATCTGTGAACAGGGGCCTCTCGGAGGCCACTGGAAGCAGAGTATGCTGTCTGGCATGCATGCTACCTGGAAGCAGGCTGACTGAGGCCCAGTCTGTGTGCCCACATCACCCTCTTCTTAAACTACGTCCTCATCAGAAGGCGTGACTCGTGAACACAGCAAGCTAGACTGGTGTGCATCTGAGTTCGATCAAATAAAGAGGCTTCACTCATAGGCCTTGAGCAGCGCTTTCCATTACTTAAGTTAGGAGTCACTTAGCCAGAGGAAGCTTGGCCCTGACTTACATGGGCATGTAAACCCCCAGAAGGTTTCTGTGTGCTCATGAGCACAGGGCCAGTTCACTGACTGAGGAAACTCAGTAACGTGTTGTCCACTCAGCTCCTGACCTGCTTGCTAATCCAAGATTTCACAGTTGGCTATATGTCATAACATTTGCTTTTTTCCTTTACTCATGTCTTAATCCATTTGGGCTGCTATAACAAAATGCCAGACTGGGTGGCTTATAAACAACAGAAATTTACGTCTCAGTTCTGGAGGCTGGAGGTCCGAGGTCAGGGTGCCAGTGTGATCAGGTTCTGGTAAGGACTCTCTGCTTGGCCTGTAGTCGGCCACCCTCTCACTGTGTCCACACATGGCCTTTCCTTAGTGTGTGCGTGTGGCGTGGCGAGAGAGCTCTCTCCCTTTCCTTACAAGGCCATCAATCCTATTGAGATTCCGCCCTCACAGCCTCACTGAACCTTAATCACCCTCTAAAAGCCGTATCTCCAAATATAGTAACAATGGGAGTAAGGGTTCAACATGTGAATTTCAGGGGGACACAATTCCACCTGTAGTAAGCTTCCTTTAAAAAATTTGGGGATTTATGCTAAACAAAAAATGCTCTCACGCATGCTCTCAATTATAAAAATACGCACTGGTAATTTTGAGGAGTGTGTTTGTTAGGTTGCCTGGAGAGCATTTACAACAGCATGCATGAGCTTTGGAGTACAGCTCCCACCTGGGCACTGGACTTGGGGGACTTGCCCCAGACCTGCTGAATGAAGCTAAGGGGCAGGCCTGGCAGCCTGCTTTTAGGGAAGTGCCTCAGGTGACCTGCAGGGAGGTGGCCCATGGACCACATTCTGAGAAACAACGATGTGCAGGCTTGAAAGAGTTAATCAGCTCGTGAGAAATTCTAGGCTTCCCAAAGTTGGGAATCTTTTCCTCCTCTGTACCAGTCTGCGTATACCATTTGGTTGGCCATTAGTCATATTCTGCCTTGTGACACATCCTCTATTCCTGTCTTGAGGTATTAAAATCTTGATGTTTTGGGGCACCTGGGTGGCTCAGTGGGTTAAACTGCTCACTCTTGAATTCTGGCTCAGGTCACGATCTCACAGTTCGTGAGTTTGAGCCCTGCATCGGGCTCTGTGCTCACGGGGCAGACAGAGCCTGCCTGGGATTCTCTCCTCTCCTCTCTCTCTGCTCCTCCCATTTTTTCTCTCTCTCTTCCTCTGTCTCTCAAAAATAAATAAAAATGTTTAAAAAATTAGAAGTAAATAAATAAAATCTTGATGTTTTTCCTGAACTTTCTAAGCGTTAAGTTGTCTTGTCACCCAAAGGGGTTTATAAAGTTCCGGAAAGCAGAGATGCCCCGGTGTTACCCACAACCACAGGAGATTCAAAGACGACAGAGAGGGTAGTGAATACATACTGTTGATGTGCTATGCTTTATAACTTTTTGATTTGTTTAATTACAAAAATAAAGCACCTTATTCCCCAGAGGACTGCTAGCACTTGAGCCCATCTGTGCACAGCACGAGCTGAGGGATGGGAACAGTCAGCAGAAGCAGGTGTTGGGCCAGTGGTCTGCCCCCCGGCCTCGGTGCCCCATGGTACCCCTGCCTGCTTCTTCTGCCTGATTTTTAGTGGGAATTTATGCACGTGGGGGCAGAAGCAAGCACTTCAGGTCAGCTCCCTTCAACGTTCCATCTCAGCACAGGTTTTATAAACTCGTACACACACAGCAGGGAGCCTCAGGGACAATGACCCTGTAGTGTGCGCCTTCCACAGCCCGCCCACTTTGGGCACTGCTCCTCTACCTTCCCCTGAAGCCACAGCTTCTGCGATGCCCACTGCCCTCCTGCCCTCCTCACTTTGCCTTCCTTCCTTCTGAATCTTCTCCCTCCTCTCCGCCTGCCTCCCTACCAGCCTCCAGTTCTTCCACTCACCTTCCCTGCTCTTGGTGCTCATTCACTGCATGAACCAAAAGATAAAAAAATGGACCAATACCTACTGTTTCAAAGTACGGTCCTACTGCTCTCAACTTTACACGGTAACACAGACGGCAGAGCGCGGCCACAGACGCTGCACGAATCATGGAGGGCACACAGAGGGGGGGCAGCTGTGTGAACTATCGGAGTGGGCAAGCACGTCAGGCTGAAGACGCTCACTGCGCCGTGACACCAGCGCATCCCAGGGCTTCAGGGACACGAGGGGCAGAGGCCAGTCTGATGGGTGGGAGAGGGAGCGGGGCTGGGGAAGTGGAGAGGATGAGTGTGCACCCATCAAACAAATCCCTTTCGACTTGTCCTCTCAAGGTCAGGCACTGAGTTCCCTCCGTCCAGGCCCTTGGGACTCCGCGGGGGAGGTGGGGGAGACAAGACACCGGCAGCCCAACTGACAAGTGACTGGCAGGGAAGGCAGTGTTTCTCCCGCTGCTGCAGGTGACGAGCAGGATTTCACAGGGGGCAGTGGAACATCTGAGCTGGCGTTACTGCCGGTGGGGCGTGTGGGCCTCACAGTCACTAGCTTAGGACACTGGGCAAGTGTCCATAGTGCAAAGAGAAACAGCAAAGTTCCTTGGCTCTGGAGGCTCACAGCGTAGGACCCCAGAGGAAGCATGCAGCGAGCACCTCGAGTACACCAACTGAGTAATGAAGATCAATACAGGGGAGAGTTTTCAGAAAGGCAGAGTGATTCATCATGCCAAAATCTTTATGGATGAGCAAGGAATTTTCCTTGGTAACCAGCTAAAAAGCGGTTAATGGTGGATTAGTAAGGAGCAGAAGGAAGATTCTAGTAGGAGGCTGAGGAGTAGGCTGAAGGTTTGAAGATTTTAATTCCATCATTCGCTCTGGGAGACAGAGATGTACCTCACGATGATTTTCAGCTTGTCTCAGCAGTACATTAAGGCCCTCGATAATGCCTGATAATAACTAAAAGAGGAACCTATTATTCCCAAAAAGCCTGTGCCAGCCTCCCCCAGACAGCGAGTTACGTTCCCTCGATCCACGGCCCCGAGCAAGCGAAGTCTTACGGGTGCTGTTAAAAACCCACCGGAAAGTACATTTAAAGAATCATTAGCTTCAATACAATTTTGGAAATGGAGCAGCTTCAAGGATGTTCCACGCTAGCCAAAACACAGGCCCACATTTCTTAAGTAAGCATTCACTTTGCACGGGCTGTCAGGAACACGAGTCCTCAACCACACCCGAAAACAGGGTGTGGAGGCCCACCTGATTTGCTATCTGTCCGGGGGTCCATGATGACAAACTCTGGCCGCAGCTTGCTGATGCGTCGCCCCTTGAGGATGGGCACAAGCCCGCCCAGGTACTCCAGGTAGAGGGTGTAGCACGGGCCGCCCACCTCCGGGTCGTCCTCTGTGCGCTTCATGGTGCAGTGCAGACGCTCGTTGCCAGCCGAGGGGTAGCTGACAAAGTCTCGCATGTTGTTGGGGTCTGGAATTGGGGGCTGGAGGCAGGACATGGAAAGAAAAGAGTACAGACAGCACTGATTACTCCAACAGAGCACTGGCTGATAGCTCAGGGAGTGTTAACCGTGTGATGGAGAGCAGCCATTCTCAACTGTGGGTGCACGTAAGAATCTCCTGGGAGCTTTAAAAAATACCTAAGTTAGGATCCCACCTCAAGCAATGAAACTGGATTCTCTGGGGGGTGGGCCTGGGCATGTGCATTTTCTAAAAACTCCCCATGTGATTTTAATGTGCAGCTAGGGTTGAGAATCACTGGTTCACAACCAAGATCATTAAGCAACTTGAAAAAACATCCCAACAGATTCTAAAACTGGTATTTTAAGAAAAAAGTAACCTCGAACAAGTCAATCTGATACTTAGAAGCAGAGCTAGGATACAAAAAAGGGAACACGGAAAAGAATGCAAGGTGCCGAGGCCTGAGGTTAGGAGGAAAGCCACACTTGACTAGCAACTGGCAGATACAGTCCACACACCACCAATACACGGACTAATTCTCGAGTTGCAATCAATATAAAGGACAAGTGACAGTGAGTGCTGGATGGAGGTCGCCCCTCCTCAGCGCAGTAATTCAATCCTCAGGACAGGGTTCACTCTGACCATTCCTGTAACTAGTGACAGAGCAAGCTACTCAAACTTCCAGGAACGTGTTTCTTGCTTTTCTGAAGCACCTGCCAGGAAGTGAGTATTGAACCAAGCAGACAGATGATCAGGATGGCACGGCAGTCAAGCTCCCAATACCGCCTCTGCCACAAGAAACTTACGCCCCTCACACAAGGCAAGTCTCTGGTGGACGCTTCTCGTGCCAGGGACAGACTGCACTTGCAAGAATCTGTCACCTGGATACTCTCGCCAAGGAGCAGACATGGCTTTTGCGCTCCTGCTCTGGGAATCTCACCTGCCCTCCGGGAGCAGGCAGGCAGCCAGTATGGGGGAGGAAGAGAAGGGAGGGTGGACGGGCTTTACCTTGATGGTGGGGATGAAGGCGGTAGAGAGGTAGGAGCAAAGGCGGGGGGGCAGGGTCAGCTTGCTGATGTCCTTGTCTTCTCGCAGGGCGCTGGCGATGGCCTGCTGGCACAGCAGCTGCAGGCTGGACACGCGGTGCTCCACGCGCACCACGTACAGGGCTGGTCCTGAAGCCATCAGCAGCCGCGAGTCCCGATGTCCCCAGCAGATGGAGACAATGGGGCGCTGCAGGAAGTGAGGGAGGCTATACTTAGGCTTCTGCTCTTGTAAGAAGACGATGCAAGCGTGTCTCAAGTAAAATAAAGTGACTGAATAGTTTTTGAGAATATTGGTTTTAAAAAGCACAATAGATAATGAAATACTACATTACACAAATTCAGTATTTTCATTGGAAAGTAGTCAGATCTCCAGGCCAGAACACAAGGCACTGACTGGAATAGTTCTGTGAAGCTCTTTCACATGTATTATCTCATTTAATTTGGTACCGTAAAACCTAACTTAGCTCTAATGTCTCTGCCAGAAGATGCAATTAGTCTGGGGAACAATAAGACACCTTCCTTACTGAAACTCTCGTTATCTGGATCCCTAAGAAATTGATGGTAGTTCCTGTGGCTTGAGGCAGTGGCAAGGAGGTAGAGCAGATAGCATTTTTGTCCCCCTTTTGTCCCAACAAGGAGCATTTTAGCGTCAAATCAACACTGGGCCTGGGGTCATGTACTGTGTGGCCTGGGGACCATCATACAATCCTGGGAAGCCTCTCGTGTTGTCACGAGTAAAACGGGAGCTGTGAGGACCGAAAGAGAGGCAAGATGCCGAAGGTGCTTCTGGAACCGATCACAGGTTATAACCCGCAGGCACTGAATCACTGTCACCCTCAGCAGCCCTGGAGCTAAGGAAAGCTAAAAGCTATGTGGAAAGAGGACCCAGTTTCTGCGGTGGCCACTCCAGGGCGTTGTGGACACCACTGCTTTGAACAGGCAGGATGAAATCCAAAGATGCAAGTCAGTGACTAGTTATATTGAAAAAAAAAAAAAAAATCCAAGGCTCGGGGGTGCCAGCCAGGATCAACCAAGGAAGAAGGGAAGCGGCAGAGGGCTGTGATGGCAAAGCCACAGGAGAATCTGTTCATTCCTGTCCAGCTGGATGGGGCTCTCACTTAATGAGGTCTTGAGGGGTTTCAAAGATCAGAAGTGGGGATATCAGATCTATTATAGGAATGACAGGAACAGAATTTTCACACTTCAGTGACAAATATCAAGATAAAAGGAATAGATTAAGACACCTGCTTAAAATAGCCTCCAGGGTCAGTTAATCCGGGTTTCAACTTCAAAACAAAATGCAAGGCTGAAGATACTCCATCTTTTATTTCCATCTCTGTGAGCCAGGCAGCCGTGGGGTGGGAACCTAGAACTCAAGTGCGCGGGCCTCCAGAGTACTTCTAAAATACGCCTCCTCCTTACAAGAGGATCCCACACCCGGGGCCGACTCCATACAGGGGCCTGTTAACTTAGAGTAAGCCATAATCAGTACTAAAGACAAAGCAGAGAAGGCATAAAAATTACACAAAAATTCCTTTGCTATCATTAATCCCTGTCCCCTCTGTCCTTCTGGTTTCTGCTTTTCATGGTAACAGTTGATTACATGTTTTGGGAGGATCTTACATAAAATTACCATTATGATAAGTATGTATCACTTATCCCTTTGTACAAATGAACTTAAGCCACTTATGCAGACTTTCAACGTGGATAAAAATTCTCTCTCTGGGCAGCCTTGGGTGGCTCAGTCGGTTAAGCGTCTGACTTCGGCTCAGGTCATGATCTCACAGTGTGTGGGTTTGAGCCCCGCATCGGGCTCTGTGCTGATAGCTTAGAGCCTGGAGCCTGCTTCAGCTTCTGTGTCTCCCTCTCTCTCTTTCTCAAAATAAACATTAAAAAAATTATCTCTCTTACATCTCAATAAGTACCTATAACATCTCATTTAATCCTTTCAATTCTACCATGTAGGTATCATTATTCCTATTTAACAGGTGAGGAAACTGAAGCTCAGAGAGGCTACTTGGTTGCAGCTAATACACTGTGAGCTACAATTCTCACCCATTTCCTCTCAACTCCACAGCTTATGCTCACCTACCACAAGATGCTGCCTCCTCTCTGTTAGCGTACGGATATAACCACCTAAAGAATGTATAATGTCCCACTAACAAACTTAATAAAATAAGAAATAGAAATAAAGAGAATGTGCCTGTCACTTATTTTTATAGCATATACTCCCTGTAAGATGTAAAGTAGCAAAATAAATACTGGTACCTTTCCATACTACATTTTAAGGCTATATTAGAAAAATAAAGAAGCATTTACAGATAGAGCTGATCCTCTTGTCTGAAGGTTTTGAGATCTCCCTGATGTGGGGAACTGATTATTGTAATTCCTACTGAATGGGGGAGGCTTGGCGGTAGGGACATGACCTCAGGATACCCTTAAGTCCTATACACCAGGAGAAAGACTATACTTTGTATTGAAAGCTGCTAAGAGACTATATCTTAAACGTTCTTCCCACAAAAAAGAAATGGTAATTGTGTGCCGTGATGGAGGTGCCAGTGAACCTTACGATGGCAATTCTATTATAATATACAAGTGTATCAAATCCACACTTGTGTACTCTAATTTACACAACATTCATGTCACCTATATCTCAATAGAGCTGAAAATAAACAAATTAGTAGGAAACCACACACAAAATCCTTTTATACCCTTTTGAATACTTTACACTTTTTTAAATATGTCATCTTATTTTTTTAATGTCTCATTTCCTTCTGGTGCTGATTTTCCTGTGCTGTTTATGGGTACTTCAGCCTACAAAACCCTCCCTAAAAATGTTCTGTTGTTTTGGAAACAATAAGACTCAAAGCGCACATGCCACAGATGTGGGCTGGGGGTGTCTTGATTCAGCTGCCCCCCAGTCAGGGACTTCTGCCCCCCGTCCCCGAGGATCAGGGGTGCCAGCAGAGCATGAATCCACTGCCTGCCCACAGAGCGCCATCTTCCCTAAGAATTGCCCACCTACCAGGATTGGCTGCAGCAGAAGAGAAACGTACCAAATGTTTAATCCCAATAAACCCGGGAACAGATACGGGTGCACACTAAGACAACTCCCACAGATTAATGCTTTTGAACAGTTGCTGTCTGCTAGGGAAAAACTCAGCTGTAAATCTGCAGACTTAATCTCTCTCAAATCACACAAAATGACTATTTTTAGAACTGATGGCCAGAATTGTGAAGTTGGTAACATTCAAATCTTAATTTGTGTGGGCAAGTTCACATACTTTGCATGTCTAAATCCAAAGCAAAAGGACAAGAACGTGAGCTACATTTCGGGGAGCATCAGTGTAGTAGAAATCTAGGGCTCCGGTGAGTTTGATGAAACAAGGAGAGGTATTAGCTGGAGAGAGATGCTATTTGTATGGAGGTCTGGTGACTGGTTAACGCACAGTCAAGTTGACCACTTGAGGACCTGCCTGTCTCGCTGTCTGATGCCGATCCACGTGAGGGAGGCAAGTGAGTCTGCTCCTCTTCTGTCCTTGGCTATAGCACAGGGACTTTATTAGTAAATGGTCAGTTTCAGCCCCTTCTGGCACATGAAGACACGCCACACACTCGCGAGCCTCACCTCCCGCTGCCCACGAAGCACACCGCACACTCATCTGGGCATCTGTTCATCTACTGTGCTGCCAGTCAGTCATCCAGTTAGCTGTCTGTCAAATGTCTACAATGGGCCACACACATTCCAAGAGGGCAGAATAAAACAAAATCCCTGCCCTCATGGAGCTGACACTGTGAGGTAGGACAGGAAGAGAGATGCACATCTTAGTCTCTCTGATGGACAGTACCTGACCATGCTGATCATGTCAGGATAGGGGCCTTGAGAAAGAGCAAGGCGGTCATTTCAGACAAAGGGGGGCAGAGAAGGCTGCTCCAAGGAGGTAGTTTTAGCAGAGGCCTGACTGAGACGGGCAGTCTGTTTATTTTAAAAAATTGAAAGCTTCCTCACCATATTACTATTTTTGTATACTGCAGTGAGTTGCATGCAGTCCTCTAAAAATCTAAGAGGAATGAAAAACGGGCTGTTCTTTCCATATTAAAGATAAGCTGCTCAAGAAAGACAACAAAAGGGTTAAATCCGCTGTCCCAAGAGAGGGACAGTGAGGCTGTCCGAACCCACTGTTTCTGGCTGATGAGGGCTCCCAGCTGAGGACCAGGGACCAGCCCATGGAGCTGTCTGACCCTGTGGGTGCCAGAGGGCCCTCCCAGGCTCCTACAGCCAGGGCAGCTCTGCCCCTCCTTTCCACAGGTCCCCTAGGAAGTAGAATGTTTTCTGTCTTAGAGGAAATGCGCTCCAATGTCTAACATTGGAAGGGGATGTGTATAATGTCTGTAAAGGTGTGTACAAAGGGAATGTCTAATGTTTGTACAAGTGTGTACAAAGAAAGAAAGCCTCCTAGAACAGTTCACTGTTAAACAGACCAAGTTGGGTGACTGGTCACCATCAAACTGTGTTGGTGGAGCCACAGACAGTTTTGAATATTAAGCTGTAATGATTTGGCCGCTGACTAAGGGGCAGTAACTAGTAAAAGCCAGCTCAGCATTCAGGCACCCAAACTGCAGTTTTAGAAAATGCACCATTCTTATATTTTCAAAGCTGACAATCCCAGGAAGGACTTTCTTCTCATCCATTTCTAGCAAACCATGGAAAAAGCACTCCTGTGGCAGCTTCGTAAGAATAGGTATAGGGGCACCTGGGCGGCTCAGTCAGTTGAGTGTCCAACTTCGGCTCAGGTCATGATCTCACAGTCCGTGAGTTCAAGCCCCGCGTCGGGGCTCTGCGCTGACAGCTCAGAGCCTGGAGCCTGTTTCAGATTCTGTGTCTCCCTCTCTCTGCCCCTTCCCCACTCATGCTCTGTCTCTCTCTGTCTCTCAAAAATGAATAAACGTTAAACAATTTTTTTTTTTTTAAAAAGAATAGGTAGAGTTAGTCCTCAACAAAAAGGGTCAATATATACGCTTGCTAACAGACTCTCCTTCTTGAGTACAGAGTCTATGACCATACCTGCAATCTCTCATTTCACTTTTCAGTTTCCACATCCATCTCTTCCTCTCCCTTCTCTCTTAACATTTTACCCTAATTATCTTATATCAACAAAGGAACCTTACAGAATATAAGCCGACTCCTCCAACATGCCTTTAATGCAAACAAACATTCATAAAGCCACAACAAAACCAACCAACCAACCAACAACCCAAATTACTGAAGCCTGCAAACTTCAGTCAGTAATGCGAACTCTAAACATCTGCTGTAGATGAACAGATATGCAACTACATATAGATGGTCCCAGAAATAGCTAATGAGGTAAATTACAGGATTTTCAACTACAACAGGTAGAAAGGAAAGGAAAAGAAAGGAAAATGAATTGCAGTGTATTTCCTTTGAAGAGCTTCAGCCATGGGCATTGCTGTTATGAGTAAATCAGGAGAATCCATTTTAAAGCTGAGGCTGCCGCAAGTTTGTGCCCAGCAACGGCTTTGTACGCAATAACCTACAATCTAATTAACTTGGAAATAAATTATCCAATCTAAATTGCATTTAGTTCTTTCTATAAACAGCCCAATAAATTTCCTAACTTCCTTCCTGCTATAAAAATGTCCCTGCCCTTGGACAACTTGAAACAGCACAGATAACGTGTAATTTTAGAATCATTACAGAAAAAAGTTGGTGCTCTCTATAATTAATGTTGTACTTGATTTTTTAAATTTTATTTATTTTTTTTTTAGAGAGAAAGAGAGAGCATGAGTGGGGGAGTGGCGGGGGGGAGGAGAGGGCAGGAGGAAGGGAGGGAGGGAGGGAGGGAGGGAGGGAGAGAATCCTGAGCAGGCTCTGCACTCAGCTGCAGAGCCTGATGTAGGGCTTAATCCACTGACCCTGGGATCATGACCTGAGCCACAATCAAGAGTTGGTTATTCAACCGACTGAGCCACCCAGGCACCCTGTTGTACTTGATTTTTAGTAACACCATTACTTTACTTTGTATTATTGAGGCAATTTTTTTCAGTGGTTTAAACAGATCCTCAAATGAAAAAACGAATAATTTATTAAAATTCTGAGACACTATATGGATATTTTTCCCAAAAGGATGATCAGCTAAGCTCCCTTCCTATCTCTGAGCCCCAAACAGTTAAAATTCAAGACCTATGTTAGTTTCACAGTTGTATGTTACAGTTGGTGAGAACTTCTACACTGGTTGAGGCCGTTGAGCGTCTATCATATTCCAGGCATTTCAAAGAAATGAAGAAAATGTGGTCTTTGACTTCAAGAAGGTAAGACAAGTAGACAGAAAAGCGTAATAAATATCAGAAGTATCAAACATCCCAGGGGGATGCTTCATGGAGAAGAGGGGTTGTAGCTGTTGGGCAGATTTACATAAGGATGTGACCGTGCTGGCGTTAAGGATGGTTTCCCCCAGCTGAGATGGCAGGGAGGGCAATCCTTGTGGAAGGAACAGAATACCAGCAGGAGGGGTGCCCTGAGTCAGACTGAAGAGTGGACAACACTGAATATACTGGGAGTGTGTTTCATTACTTCAATTCACAAATAAGTTTTTTAATAACTGTAAAAGCCTTATTAACTCAGAAAGAGCTGGAAATGCCCATCCTCTCCTACCTGTCAGGGTAGGGATAAAAGTCAGCATGACATCTGAGTGAGAAGGCACATAGCCTCCTGGTTCAAACTATCGGCAGAAAGCACTAAAAAGAGCATATGTTGACAACTGTCCATCCATCAATCCACCAAGCAAATACTTACTGAGCACCTACTATGTTCCAGACAACGCACCTGCAGTTTCAGTTTTGTTAAGATGAAAACGTTCGGAGATTGGTTGCGCAATAACGTAATACAATTAACAATACTGAACTATACACTTAAAAATGATTAAGACTGCAAATTCTATTATGTGTGTTTTTCCACAACCAAAAAAAGAGAGCTATATTTAAATAATCAATGTCTGCATCTAATTGCAAATTTCCCCGAATCTGGTATACCTGCCTCTTTGAGCTGGGTAAGGTTAGAAAAGAAGTCTCTAGTTTATTATTGCCCCCGTCAGTCATCAACTCACTCTCAGACCTGTCTCCACTACACCCCACTAAGAATTTCGTCCTCCACGAGAGCTGATCCAAATCAGAAATGAAGTGGTCTACAGATCTCTGGGAAATAAAAACAAATAGAAAAGGGCTACCTTTCTTTCCCAAAGATCTTTAAGCTTTCTTACTTACTGTTTAACAGTCATTTAGCTAAGATGCAAAAGTACATTACTGGCATAGAAAACATAACATCAGAGTGAATAAATGAAGATTCAGCGCATACTTCTGTAAGTGCTAATTTCTGCCTGACGATAAATACCAGCTCCCTCTGCTTACTCACTGTCCACTCTTTTCAGTGGGGGATGTAATAAAGTATTTTGGTTAATTCTCCTTTATTTCTTCTGGCTTACACTCCATAATTTAATTAAGGTCAACGAAAGATTAAAATCTGTCGAAGATAATTATAGGAACTATAGCCACCTCACGGTATTTAATGGAGCCCGGAAAGCATACTAACACAGTGGCGTTACAATGAAGGTCTGACACACATCCTTACTTGCACAAGCGTGTCCAGGGTGAAGATGTGCTCCCCGCGGACATTGTAGAACTTGACCATGGCACTCTTCAGAAGAGGGCCATTGGGGAGGTCACCGAGCTGGGTCTGCCGTTCCATGCCAGAGACGGCCAGGAGGTCTCCCTGCGTGCACCACTGGGCCACCACCTCTGAAATCACAAAGAAGACAGTCAGCATGAGGATGTGACCCTCCCTGAACCTTCATTGAAGTAGTTTAGAAAACAGAGCTGCTGAGCAAATACAATGGCAGCTCTTACCCTTTCTCTCACGAAGACAATAGCTACCCATTTCTCTGAAGACAGTACAGACTCTATTTAAACAGGTGTCTATCACATGGATGGGGAGCACAGCTCCCTGACACACAGCTGTATCAGGCCAAACCACGTGACAAAGCCGGCATGTTAAATACCTAACTTCAACACCGGCATTACCGTCAAGGGATGTGCAGAAATCTGAGGGAGCAGGTAAGATCATTAATCCCATGACTCTCCATCTGCTGCTTGTGTCCCTGCCCTCAGAGATGATTCTAAGAGTATACAAATGCAAAAAGTAAGTCAAGAGCAAATTCTAAGTTTATATTCATTTGATTTCTGTGCACCACTGGGCAGATAAAGTTCACATAAAGGACTTATCTGCATATGAAGGCCTTGACTTTTATTCCACATTGGGATGTTATGAGGGCTTAGAAAAGAAGATAAATACTTCTGTTGGATGGCGTGTTGTCAGAAATTTTCACCCTGGAGATGTGATGCCCACCTACCAAGCCACTCGGTACCTATAAAAATGGCTATGAAAGGGTTGGTCAAATCCCAACGTGGCAATTTACTTATTCTGGCTGGTAAAACAAGCTAATAGTACTAATAAGATTTAGAGCATAGTTCTTCTCCATCAAGGCCCCAGAACCTTATGTGACTCATACAGAGAGCACTGATATCCAGAACTCAGAGGCCTGAGAGAGGCTGGACGGAGCTGACGGTGCCCTGTCACGACAGGATGCGTCTCAGAGCCGGGACCAGATGCCAGCAGGGCCTGGGCTCCATCAGGTCACAAACCATCACAGCACCTTGCTCTTATTCACACGCGGTGCCGACTCTGATGTTAGTAACAGCACATTCTGAGGTCACCAGTGCTCTGTGACTTCCTTTGAAGACCAGACTGTGGTCCCAGGACAAGATGGCTCCCTGGACCCAGGGAAGCGAGAGCCAGCCCATCAGGTGAGCCACCGACAGGAACTAGAGACGGAGGTAGCAGAGGGCTGAGTGAACCCAGCTACAAACACAGAACGAAAAATCTCTACAATCTGAGTCAGTGAAAGCATCAATAAAAGGAGCTCCCCCCACCCTTTTCTTATAAAAGGATATGAATAAGGACAAGTACAAACCAGGAAATGAAAAATAAGTTAAAAGCATCATCCAAATATCCTGGTGAGTAAGATCTCAAAAAAGATGAGAGGGGGGAAGGCTTGAGGATTTGTGCACGTATTTCACTGTGCTCGGGTATCCAAAGGGCTCAGGTGCTCTGGTGAGAAGCCGGCCATGACAATGAAACTGAAATGACCTTCTCTGGATGACAGTTTTGGCAACACAAGGAAGTCAAGAGGAAGAGCCACTAATGCTGACAGGTAAAGGTGACACAAGCAGAGCCCGCGGTTGTTTAGGATGACAGCGTCCCTGCAACTGCATAAACGAAGAGGACAGCACCCAATTCCTGCGGTTCTGCCGCTAACCCGCTTTGGTCAGGTGGTGAGTGACGAACCCGCACCGTTCTTCTTGCTATTGTTTTAGTAAGATTCTTTGAACTTGCCCCTCAGAAAAGTGGGCTGCTGCTGGGCTGCTGTCCCCGTAGGGGCTGGCACAGACACACAGTCCGCTCAGACACTGCTCGGCGACCAGAGGCTCTGCTCCCCACACGGGCGCCCGGGCCCGGGGAGCAGGAGTCCGCGCAGCCACAAAGCAGACGCCCAGGGAGCTCGTCCCCGCAGTCACCAAGTCATACTGAGACAGCCGTGGTCTCCACAGCCAAGTCACTGCTTAAAAGAGAACAAGTTCTACAGGAGTAACACCACTTCTTGTTCCGACGATGACACAACCAGCGGCATCAAGGGCCTGAGCCAGTCCTGATGCACATGATGGGCAGGCGCTCACCAGGGGAGGCCAGCTTACCCCAGAAAACCCCATCACAAGGAATTCAGGAGTGGGAGTAAGAAAGAAAAACCACGGACTGTTCAGTGGCAACCAAGGCTGTGTGAGTACCTCCACAGGGGCTGAATCCCCAGGGTGGGACTGTAAAATCCACATAAATTACTACAAAATCAAAGAAAAATCACATATTTATTCACTTTCTAGATTTCACTTCCATAAAGAAGGAAACAGAAGCCTAGATGTGGTCAGGACAGAAACTTTCCTGTCCCAGGAAGTTTTTATAAGTTTATATTAGAATAGAAAATAATCCCCAATGCCTTTGCCCGATCTTTTAGTAATAATTTCACAGTTTCTAAGCCTCTAAAAATTTGTGTCAAAATATAAGCCAGAAGGAAGGAACTAAATGCTTTATTCAGTAAGCCTCTTTTCACTTTTCCTGAAGCTCTCAGCACAGTCTCTAAGGATGTGGGGAGTTCCAAGGCACAAAAGAGGCCCATCCTCTTAAAGCACTGATTTTCCTTTATTTTTTAAAAGCAATCTCTATGCTGAACATGGGGCTCGAACCCATGACCCTGATATCAAGAGTCATATGCTCTACTGGCTGAGCCAGCGAGGCGCCCTGCTCTTGATGATTTTGAAGTGTCTGTGGATTTTTGGTCTCTTAAACATTTTATACACAAAAAAATTAGCAGAGTCACACAATTCTACTTTAGCTAGACAATCTTATGGATCTTTCTTGGTAAGAGCCGGAAGAGTCAAAATTTGACTTGTAGTGTGCGGTGAGAAAATTTGGTCCTTTTATATTAACAAGAGCCCCTTGTGTGGAGTTAGTGCTGGGTCAAAAACAGGCAGCCAAGTATTCGTGGAGAAAGAATAGCGCTCTTACCAAACACCACGTGTACTTGAGCTGCTGGTTGGAAGCCTGAGTGAGGTTCACAGGGGCCTTTGTCTCTTGGATGCCCACGTTAATGATTCATCTATTGGTCATTAGATACATGTGTACTTGTGTGTGTACACGTGGATTTTGTGTTGAGAAAGAGAAAATGAGCATGTGCACAAAGGAGAAACAAATTAAGTAGCAAAGTGTGTGATGGTAAAATAACATGTACTTCTTTTCTTTAATAACAGTGCTTCTGGGAACATATGGAGGACTGAACAACACCGGCGTGTATTCAGTGAGGACGATGGATCCAACCTCTATCAGCACAGACTGCAGGAGCAGACAGCACCACTGACTGGAACCACTGTCCTTCAAAACCCGCTCTTGACTTTTACCAGTATGGTGCAATGAAGTGACAAAAAGAGAAAATTCTGTAAAACAAAGAAACCCTAGGAGTTTAAATTCTTTGATTTTAAGACAAGTGTGGGTGAAATGAGCAGTGCCTTTGAGAGCTTGCTTTACTGCAACGGATGAAGTGTCTAGGTCAGAGTTTCTGAGCGCATCACTGAATTGTTTTTTCCTTGAAGGGTAAGAGAATATGCTACCTCAAAATATGCCACACCGGCATATAAAAACTATTTTGAGCTGAAGGCAACTGAGAAACAGCAGATACAAAAAAAACTCTCTCTTTTCCCCTATTTGCCTAAAAGCGGGGTGTAAATTTGTGCAGGCACTTGCCCACTCTGCCCCCTGACCAGGAAGGACAGAAGCTAATCACTGGAGACAACCCTGGACCCTCATCAGCCCACACACAGCTCCAGAAGAATTTACATGACAAACTTCAGGAACTGGCCGTTATCTTCCATTAGTCCTCCCTGTTTACCTTCCCACAATCTGCTACACTAGAAACTTTAAGTCCTTTCCCTTTGTCTTGTCACTTTTCCAAAAACGTTCTGTTCTGCTGTTAATATGCAATATAAGCCCAAGCTCTACCCACCCATTTGAGTTACTCATCTCTGAAAGCTTCTACAGCTAAATGCAATGCATGTGTTAATAAACTTGTTTCTTTTTCTCTAGTCAACCTGTCTTTGGTCAGTGTAATTTATAGGGTCCCAGTCGGAAAACCTAAGATCTGTAGGGGGAAAACAGTCTTTCTTCCCCTACACTCTCAATGAAAAGTACAGTAACTACAAAAGGTAAAAACCCCAAATAAGGTGTACTAATTTATGGTTCACTATGTGATAAAGAGAAGTCCCCTAAGTTGGGATACTTAGCAGATTCTTCTTTAAGGCAGAATCTCCTCAGCAAACATCTGCAAAACAAAATCACCCACCACCCTATGAATCTGCAATCAAAACACAGTGTAACAGGTGGCGGAGAAGAGGGTGATCACAGGGACCGTGAGCTATCTGCCATTCTCTGTTCTTTGGCAACAACATAAATTACAATGTTGGTGATAAAGCAGAAAATATCATGAGTCATGTTTCTTCACTGGAGAAGCTCTCTGATGATATTTCTTTGAGACAGTAACAGAGAAAGACTAACCCAGTTCAGTCCACCCTATATGACAATCGACTGACCTGTCCACCACAGGACAGATGACCATGGACGGAGCAAGTTGCCACACGCCACCTTGGCAGATTCTGGCGATCTCTTCCTAGTATTTACCCCATGAAGTCGTGGACAAAAAACAAAACAAAACAAAACAAAACAAAACAAAACAAAACAAAACAACCTGCTGCCGTTGATAGCACATGTAAGACCGAGTCCTCATAATATTCTGAAACCAAGACAGAAAGAGAAACTGCCTACATCCAGCGCCGATCGGATGACATCAGCTCACTTAAATTTCACCTAACTTCCTGCAATTAAGACGACTCCGTGCAAAAGCATGTCCCCCCATGGAAGTGTGAAAGACTTAGATTAGATTTAGATTTCTAGTCAGGCAATGGGAAGAATGCTAAATTTGTCTGTATTTTTAACATGAAACTCAAGTCAAAAACTTTCACACTTGGGAAGGCCACCCAGGGTCACCTTCACAAGCCACCTCATATGCGTTCCTAACCTTCCACCACAGGCTTGGTGGGGATGTGTCAGAAGTGCTGCTCCAGTGCAATCTAGTTTGACAGACAGAAAACAAAACAACACATTCAAGGAATTAAAAAAAGTTTCCACAGGTAAGCAAGATGACAAAGATTCTGAAAAATTTGCCATATGAGAAATACAAGGGAACTGACTGGTAAATATGTTAATTTCAGTCCTGATCAGACACGTGTCAGAGAACAAAGTTCAGGGCTCCAGGACTAGAGGCAGGTTCTGAGGAATCAATAAACTTAGTTGAAGGTTTAAAAGTAGAATTTCTGAAGAAGAAAAGAAGAGCCTGGACAACCAAATATATGTGAGAATTTATGATGACCACCCCTGCATGTTAGCTCCACAAAGGTCAGAATACTCAGAAAAGAACTTGCAAAAAAGACCAAGGAATGTAAGTTCATCATCATCATCATACACACACAGAAGTATTTACTCAGCTTCTAAAGGAGCCTATTTGTGGTATAAAGAGGGACTTCTACATAGTTCACGTCCCTCAAGAGTTTAGGCTAAATAATTCCTCACAATTATAGATCTGAAACAGCAAAATGGGATACCCACAAAAAGGAGAACTTGTAAGAATATTTTATAGTTTTAAAATGGAATCAAGAAGTGCTTAGGGGCAGGCAGACAGGTATGATGCACTCTAATCAACAGTTAAGTATACGGACTTGAGTCTCCATTATCATCCCTGCGATCCCTGAGTAATTCAGACAGGAAGCACATGACACAACTCTCTGGTCTGAGGCAAGTTCTGAGTGACAGTAGTAACTTGAACTGCACGTTCTGGTTTACCCCTGGTCTCCCATTCAGATTATAGCAGGTCCCTTGCACTTTGAGACCAAAGGCAATCCAGGGACTTCTACACCATACCATTTAATCCTGAAGAGACAGAACTGTTTTTCCAAAGAACTCATCAGGGTCACAATGTGAGTAAATATTCTTGAATTGCAAAATTCAGAACATGCCAAATGCCTATGGACAGCGATTTTCTTGTGAGAGAACACATTTCATAACATCTGTCAGGGAAGTCAGCATTTGGCGGTTGCTGTTTACATCAATGCCTCAGTCCTGCAGCTGCGGGGACTTTACCGCACAACCATCGGTGTCTTAATACGCCTCAAAGTAACAGGGGCTTCTGTAAAACTGCCGTGCTGGGTCTGCTGCCCCAGGAACGGCAGGTGCTGAGGTCCAATACTGTACTGACATCATATGTTAGCCAGAGGCAAACACATACACCCAAGAGAGGGTTACTCGTCGTAGTAGGTAAAGACAGAAAGGCGAAGACTGTCAGGAATCCCTCCTCGAGACAAGCCTAGGTGTCAACTTGTCACATAAGCAGAGGAGCAAAAGGAAGTGGCCTTCATTAACAGACTCCATTAAGCCCACGGACGGGCGGGAATGGATAAGTACTGGGTGCGGGACACCCACCGGAAGGCAAACGCACACAGGGCTGATGTGTGGGCTTGGGGTCACGTGCAGCCTTCTGTACCTTTCAGCCCTGAGCGGATGACAGTAGGAGACAAGTCGTCATAGTTGTTCATTAAGCTGATGTCCCCCGAGGTGAAGCTGACGGTGAGCAGCGGCTTGATGTTCTGCACCGGGATGGGATACGCTGCTGGACCATCTGCCGGGACAAAAGTGCTGAGTAAAAAGGAGGCAAGGCACACATGACCCAAATCTACGACACATTGCTGCAGTCTGGCAGAGGGCTTTAACAACTGCCTGACACTGCAGACCAGACTCTGGACTGGGATGTCACTGAGTAAGGCAACACTGTACATAGCACTCAGGAACTACGTGGGGCTGTCAGGAAGAGCGCCACCGGGAAACCCTGGAATGAGAAGCAGGACGGGAACAGACGGCCCTGGAGGCACCAGCTGGGATTCCTTGGGCTCTGCGGTATGGTGATGAGAACACATGTGAAGATTATTAACTCATGTGTTAATGCGTCATGTTTCTAATGATGTGTAAACATAAATTATTATTTTAACGTCACATAACACGTAAGGATGGTGGAAAGAAGGATGAAAACAATTTCTTTTTTTTTTTTTTTCAATGTTTATTTATTTTTGGGACAGAGAGAGACAGAGCATGAATGGGGGAGGGGCAGACAGAGAGGGAGACACAGAATCGGAAACAGGCTCCAGGCTCTGAGCCATCAGCCCAGAGCCCGACGCGGGGCTCGAACTCACGGACCGCGAGATCGTGACCTGGCTGAAGTCGGACGCTTAACCGACTGCGCCACCCAGGCGCCCCCGAAAACAATTTCTTAATCTTGGTCCAATGTACAGAGAAAAGTTGCTTTTCAACACTAATGCCCTTTCATTGGACATTACAGGAAATAGGGAGCCACAGCAGCCACAACGAGTAAGTTTTTACCGTAAGAGACTCCAAACCTGGAGAGAAAGCCAAGGTTGGCTGTGGCTCATAAACAATTCTGCTGCATCCGCAGCGCACAGCCAGTATAAAGAAAATTCCGCTCTGTAAGTTCAAGGAGTACTCATGGATGCTAAGGAAGAACTGTGATGGGTCATGTTCTGGATTCTTCTACATGCTGCTTCAAAAGTAAAAGTCAGTCCCTCCCACAGGCCAAGATAAATGAGGGCTCTTTCAGAAGGCCCCCTGCAGGCCTCATACCCATGCCGAGTTCATCCCTGGGAGCCATCCGGAGTGGGCTGGCCTGACATCCGCACACTCGCCCCACCTCAGCCCTGCCTGTGGAGGATCCTCAGGTATTACTTTCCTCTGCTTCACTTTCAGATGCTGTACGTACCTACCTCTGTGCTCAAATCCCCTAGGCCACCAAGAAAAACCCAGCTCTATGTGAAAGGCAAATCCCAGTCATCCTCCAAATTGCCGCATGGCTCTGAGAAGGGAAATGTGTTAAAGCAGCAGCCGGGGTCTAAATTCTATCCTTGGACTCATTCTGAACCTGCTTTGTAACTTGCTCTCTAGATCTTGTTTTTTTCCCATAATACATGGGGCTAAGTGAATCTGCAGTCAATCTAGTAAAGTTCTGTTTTAAAAGTGGGCTGACAAGTATCCAACCTTGTATAACACGGACTTTATTACTATGAGGCTGGAGAAATAGTCAATACTTCACTCAGGTTGGGGCCCTACTAGGAAAGGGTATGTTTATGTCTCAGATGGAAGTACATTCTCCTTCCCCCAACCCCATGCACCCTGAAACACTACCCCCAACAGATCTAAAGTTTCTTTCATGTGGGGCGCCTGGGTGGCTCAGTCGGTTAAGCAACCAACTTCAGCTCAGGTCATGATCTCATGCTTGTGAGTTCGAGTCCCATGTCAGGCTCTCTGCTGGCAGCTCAGAGCCTGGAGCCTGCTTCAGATTCTGTGTCTTCCCCTCTCTCTGCCCCTCCCATGCTCATGTTCTGTCTCTCAACAATAAATAAACGTTAAAAAAAATTGTTAAAGTTTCCTTCATGTGAAAATGGTCATCTCCTTAAACAAACGACTGAATGAATGCGTGAATGTCTCTGGGAAGCATCATGTCTTATATCATGTCTGGGACAAAATGAGAGCATTCCAAGTACCAATGGGGGTAGATGCTGATGGGGGACACAGTTAAAGATCTATTCCCCGGACCAGCAGCTCACAGGATGAACGTGCCCACAGTCACCGGAGAGGGGAGCAGTGCGAGGACAGAAGTCCTGCAGCAGTATGACCAAGTCTGATCTCCTACTATTTCACAATGTATTTTTTCTTTAAAAAAAAAAAAAAAAAAAAAAAGAGGAATGGGGTACTAGGGAAGTGCCATGGTCCTGAGTAGGCCAATGACGAATGCTGCTGTTGGTGACGGCCAGCATCAACATCAAAGGTTTCTGGCTTTTTGTGTGTGTATGTGGGAGGTGTGTCTGTCACATGTGTGGGAGATAAAATGCACTGCAAAAGTGAAGGAGGCTGGAGTCTGAAATCATCCCCACCAAGAGTCTGAAACCTTTCCTTAGGTCCAAATATTAAAAAACTAGATGCCAATTAATCTAAACTGACATTGCTGTGAGACTTACAGGGGAAGACAGGTTCTTCTGAACTGAGAAAAGGAAGTTTCCCCCCAAAAGACAGAAGAGGGGCATGGACAGCAGCCCCATGTACTGGCCTGCATTACAGGCAAAACTAATCCTTTTCTCACACAACTAAAGCTACAGGTTTTAATGACATTAGGGATTTGAAACACCACAGATTAAGTTATAGTAATAGCACAGCATTTCTCGTCTCCAGCTCTCTTTATTCTTGCTAAGCAGCTAAGCCCCACAACTCCCTAGGGACATGAAAAGGGTCATTTCATGTCTAGCAAAACCTAAGCCAACAGAGCTTCATCCACCTGCGCGGAGATTCTGAGAAAAGGGATGGCAGAGGGAAGACAGCCGAATCAAGACCAGACGTCAGGCTGCCCTGCCTTGTGCTTCACCGGAGCTCTTCCCAGTGGGTCAGGGCGCTGCACCTGTGGTGGACTTCACCCTCCTCCTCCGGCTTCCTACCTTGGGGTGGGGAGTAGTCGTCTGAGTCCGTGTCGCTCTCGCTGCTGTCCTCCACCAGGAAGGCGGGGCAGTTCCAGGACATGCTGAGGATGCCGTCGGACTCGTGCAGGAGCACGTGGGCCAGCATCCTGCCGTGGCAGTCCATGACGATCACCTGCCCGTCGGCCGTGCCAAACAGCACCTGCAACCAAGGACGGGAACCCTTGACGGACCAGGAGAAAGGACTGCGGTTTCTGGCAAAACTCATCACCTTAACTTGTTAAGATGTACAAAATATATTTAGGACTCAAAAAACAGAGCAGTTAAGTAGCTGAGGCGATACACAAAGCATTAAGTACCAGAAACTTAGCTGGCTATTAACTTGCAAGCATTTTAGTCCTCTAATACTGAAATGTGACTAATGGCAAAATAAACACATTTGTTATGGAGTATGGATATTTACAAATACCAGCAAAATCACTGTCTTTTTGCTGTTTTTGTTTTTTGCATGTTTTATTCTTTTGGTTGGAGAAGGAGGGTTAGGAAGAGGGTAATACTTATTTTTCTTGAATGAAAAAAAGCAGCAGCGGAGGTTTGGTAAGAATTTCTCAAATTGAGAAGAAAAACTTCAGGTGTATGTTTGACCAAAGAGAAAATATATTTGGTTATATAAGCAGGTTATCTAACCACATTTGGAAAAGATGCTCCTGAAATAGTTTGTCTAATGTTTTATTTGACTAAGAGGAACAGTCTTTTGTATTAATAATTAATGTTATAATGTATTAACAGTATTAACACATTCACTGAGTGCTTACTTTGTGCTAAGCACTATATTAAGAGCTTTACCTCACGTATTGTCAAAATAATCCTGGGAGTTAAGTACCAGCACTGTTGATAGAGAGCTCAGATGGGCCTGACACCCTCACTTCACCGGGTGTGGGGCGCACACGCAGGAATGTGCTGGGGGTGCAGGCAAGTGCATGGGCAGAGCTGAAGCACAGGCAGGACAGAGGAGGGGTTAGCCCCCCTTCATCGGAGCAACAGAGGCACCATCTCAAAGCTGCTCGAAGCCCCCTGACATGAGCTGTGTCTTCTAGCGGGATGACCAACCCCACGGGAAGGAGGACCTCCAGGGGGAGTACACCATGTTCTCTTCTGTTTTGGGTGGTGGTAGTTTCTGCATCTGTTGGCATTTAAAACTTTGTATCTTTTGTGTTTAATGAGATCCTTGTGTCCATCAGCAACTGATCAGGAGAAGCAGGCAAAGTCTTTCCATCTTACAGATGCAGAAACAACCTGAGAGGTCAAGTTAGTTGACAAGGCCATTAGGTGATCAGACCACCGGGCTCTCTTACTGGAAAGACTAGGATTTACACAGAGGGAAAGTTATTTAGGGTGTGTTAGGTCCTTGCCTCCTTTTGCCATTAAGATTTTGACATTAAGCTCCTTGGGGGCAAAGACTGTCCACAGCTATCTCCCTGGCACCTAACAACTTTGGGTACAGAGGGCACTTAATAATATTTATTATTAAATAAAGTCAGTGACCATCAAAAGGCATTTTTAGTACATAAATCCTGACTATTAAGATAGATTAATTGCAGGGGAAGATATATTTCATTTAAGTAGTAAAACACTCACAGAATTTACAGAGCTGTTTTAGAATAAATCAACTGTCCATCAAACATTCCTTTAGAAACGCCTGGGTGGCTTAGTCAGTTGAACATCCGACTTCGGCTCAGGTCATGATCTCACGGTTTGGGAGTTCGAGCCCCACATTGGGCTTGCTACTATCTGTGCAGAGCCCACTTTGGATTCTTTGCCTCCCTCTTCCTCTGTCCCTCCCCGGCTCACACTCTCTTAAAAATAAACAAACATTAAAAAAATATTCCTTTAAACATGTCTGTATTTTAATGAATGAAAATTTTAAAAAAGGCTCAAACCGTTTTCTCCAGGGGCAATAAGAAATCTATTACTGCACTGGGCTTAAATAAAAAACACACAAACTACTAGGAATACAATAAAACACTTTAGAAGAAGCTGAGTTTTTGGCTAGCAATGGAGAAAACTAGTATCTGCTGGCACGTCTGCAAAGCCCTCGTGCAGCACTGGCACAGGGATCAAGACACTGGGGGTGGTCAGACCTGCTAAAGCCCTGGAAGAGGCACCTGCTGAATGAGCTTGGTAGGCAGTTTTCAATGGTGATAAATATGGAATGTGACTTCTTGTAGCTTTAACTGAGATGTAAATTTATGTATTTCCAAGGAAAAAGATGTGTGGGAACCTATCAGGCCAATATCATGGGTGATGTCCCCAGGAAGCAGGCTGTTTTTGTCCCCCTTCCCACATTCTCCTTAATTTGCTCACGTATGTTTTGAAGAGCAGCCATGCCTTGGTGCTGGGTGAAGGGGTTATTTGATATAATTTATGACTTCTGTTTCTAATAAAGATAGCTCATTGGCAGGCCACAGCCAGCAGCAGTTACTTTTCACAAGTACCCAGAATTAATATGTACCAATCCCAAACAAGTTTCTACCCCCTGCTCTTATGGGTTCACATTACCCTGGTTTTCCACTGGTGCAATCATCACTATTTTCATACCTTTCTGTGCAATATTTCACTTCTGACTCCCAGGCTAGACTGTAAGCTTTTCAGGGCATGGCCCATATGTGTTCTGCTCACTACTATCTCCCCAGGGACTGTCATAGTTGATGTCACATGGCAGTAAGTATTTGTGAAGGGAGGGAGGAAATGCCTCTGCATTGAAGGATATTTTGAGCAATGCTCACATTTTTCCATTTTAGAGAAGAACAGATAACAGACAGTAGAATAGACATCTAATTTCTGAATAAAGGATGGGTGACTTAGTGAGGCATCAGTGTTCAACATTACACTAAAGCCAGCCCCCAAATTCCCCGCCATGAATCAATTCCAACTATAGCTCTCCTGGGAAGATAACACACTATTAAGATCAGAGAGAAGGAAAAAAGCAGCACTAACAGTCTAGTTGTCAAGCGGTGATGGAGGAAGTTACTGTGTTTGGGAAGAAGTATGTCACAGATAACTCGAGAACACTGATACAACATGAAATCAGATTTTTAAAAAATCTCTTCTATTTCAAGTTCTTTTCATGCCTAAACACTTCCAATGAGACAAAGCTTATGTGAGCAAAGGCCTGTAAGAGAATAAGCCAGAGAAGTCTAATAATATTGAATACACAAACAGGCACATGCGTCAATCTCTGCTTCTACTCCCTAATTCTGGTGCTTTAGATAGGTTGGTGCTGGCTCCTCCTTCCCAGCTGTGTCTCTTCTTCTAAGCTTGGTCCTGGGCAGTCTTCCCTCTCTAGGAGATCAAAGTTGTGTTCATGGCTTCAAAGATCCTGTCCAAGGCTGGCTCGTGCTCAAGCCTCTCCCCTAAGCTCCAGACTCCCGCATCAGACTGACTACCTGCCATCTACACCTGGATGTGCAAAAGGCCCTTCAGAACCAACATGTCCCAGATGAAATGCATGACTTCATCCTTTCCCTAACCTACACACACACACACACACACACACACACACACACACACACACACACACACACACAGAGCCAGGTACTCCTGCAGCAAAGACTGTGGCTTGTGTTTTATCTCCAATGTCTTGTACAGTGTCTGGTATAGAACAGGTGCTCAGACATCATGTGTGAAGGCTTTGGGGACCCACCACATAGAATTAATCTCATTCTAACCATGCCCCCACAGCACTTGCAACTTCGCTGTTTTCGCATACTTCTTTCCCGTTAAACTGTGAGCTTCTTGAGGGCAGGTCTGCACCCCCAGGTTCTCACATGTTGCTGGTCACAAGCAAAAATGTTCAGGGACTATTAATAAGCATATTTCTGCCCAAAGCTTTGGCCTTTACTCAAATTTTCCTACAAATGAAGCAAAAAATTCTTTCCTTTCTGTTTTAAACTATCAAATCCTCCCATAAAACTGGCCTCCAAAATACTTGCAATAATGGATAAAGTAAATTTCTGTCTCGTATTTTTCCTGCTGTTTTCTCTGCTGGATTGCAGGCTTCATGTCGGGGCAGGGACAATATTCCCTCTGTTACATGTACACCAAGAACCAAACAAGCTGGGAGAAAGCTGCTGGTCCTCAGGCCACACCTGTTCAATGGCTGTCCCTCACTTCAGGCAGTGTTTAGTAACCGTGTACTCCATTCTAAACTATCTTTAGATGTAATTATTTTAAAATATAACACAATTATTACCAGTAATTTAAAATGAACCAAGCCACAAAACAAAGGTGGTAGGAAAAAAGATATAAAATCATTCACAAGATTTACGTTTTGGAACCAGTGATATGTCATCAGTACTTTTATTTTGGGAGACCAGTATTCATCTAAATTCTTGAATAAAAACCATATTAGGAAGTTTCAACTATAAAAATACACACTTCTGTAAATGCTCACCTCTTTTGTAGCAGAGTTTAACTAGTAGCCATTGGAAGTAGTTCCAGAAGGAATTGACCTTTTTGTCCGTTTGCTTTTGTGATTTAAAACTAGGGGGGGCAGATAACAAAGTGATTATACATTCCTACCAGTAACCTCCACCCTGTTGGTGGCAAATGTCTAAATGTGCCACTGTGGAGACAGGAATGAAGGGACCATGTCCCTTTGCTCTTTAGAAGGATTCTTCTCTTCAGAAATACCACTGAAGTCAAAATTTATTTTTGAAAGACCTCCCTATTGGGGTTTCAGAGCACTACCTTTCAAATGCTTCCAGACAGACTGGAATATTTTGCAACTAAAGAGTCACTGAAATCAGACAGTTGTAAATGACAGAATTTCTCAACTGATTAGCAGAGTATTTCCTGGAGTTTTTTTTTTTT